GTGCTGGTTAGAATTGCAGGTAGAGAATATATACAGTTTTATACCTGGCAGGAGAGTGCCATGGCACCCCTAATAGGGGAAGGAGGTCTGGGTTTTAAAGGGTCTCTCTCATGGGATAAAATGGGAGGATGTTTGAACTCTGCTCGCTTGTTTATAGAAAGTATACTGTGACTGTTCTCTTGGGGGAGGGAACTCCCGTCCACTTGGTGATGAATTTTGTACCTATTGTTTGTATCCTTGGGGTCACAACTTGCCTCAGCAGGGTTAATGTGCATTTTTAACCTTCTCTCTTGGCTCAGCTCCAAATCATCAGCTTACTTGCTAAACTTCTGTTCTTTAACTCTCCTTCTGGCCAGGAGCCTCTGTGGAAAGCTGGCTCCAGTTGGCCATCTTGCCTCCCATGATAAGTTATAGCTCGTTCAGTTACATCACAAGTATGTAGGTGCCTGTACGGTAGTATGAATTAAAGATTAATGTATTTCAGAATTTTAAACTTGACTGACACAGATACTTTTTAAACTCTGGAAAGAATTGATTAATTCAAAGACTATGGCTTTGTCACTTGAAAACAGCACCATGTGCCTGGAATCTTTGATGCTTAGGAATATTGAATTATTGGGTTATATTAACTATAATGTTAGTCAAGCCTTTGCTCTGGTTTAACTGAAGAATAAAGTAAATGAAGCTATCAGTTTATTATCTGGTTACTCTCTTGTGTGATTGGTAAGGCAGAAACACAATAGCTGAAGGTTGTGAAGGGGGCCCACCACGCCATTCTAGGTGTTACTCCCTGTTTTATAATAGACCTCTGTAGAGTTCCTAGAGAGGTAGAAAAGAGAAACCTGTTAGCACAGCACTGCTTGTAATCTATGTTTTTGATTATCAAAGACAGGATCCTAAAATTACACCCAAATATCTCTCACAGGTTCTGAAATTGAGTTTCTGAAAAAGCACTGTAGTAGTAATAGAAAGTAAAGTGCAGAGTTCCAGAGAAATGAGCTGTGAATTGAACCTACAATGGAAATTGATCCTATCAGTCAGTTTTTGCCCTTATTTGTAGAAAAGCAGGGCTGAATATAGAAGAAGCCAGGATCGCTGATTAAATGGGGATGCTGAAGTGCTGGAGGCTAGAACTGGGCTTGCTGGTTCCTTAGCTCAGGACTGCAGTTGTCAGGCTTCTCTGCTTGAAACCTGGCTCAGACTGGCAGAAAGAGAACAAAATGAAAAATGCTGCGGGCACCAGCGGGGGAATTGGTATAAGAGCTCCCTGACTAAGCTTCCTGTGTGATAGCCAGTACACTCTGTAGGGAGGCCATTCTAGTATCTCATCATGAGTCAGTGGGCCTCGATGGGACCATCTGGACTTAATGATCCCATTCCAGGGAAGGGGATATGTCACTGGGAGAAATGTCTTTGGAATCGATTCCTGTCCTAAGTAGCATCTTCAGGTTTGTGAGTCAAGAGGAATAAATATGCTACAACTAATGGTCCTGTAGTTATAATTTACTACCCTGCTAACTCTAGTTTATATTGTCTAGAGGTTTATATTGTCCACATAGAATGATAGTAGTGGTATGCTAAGTCTTGGGGAATAATGTTTATATTCTACTCCCAGAAATGCAGTGTGAGTCACAATTAACCCACGAAAATTACACATTTCTAGTTATTAAGTTACTATTTGTTTTCCACAGTGTGATATATTTATTCAATGATACCCTGCAAAAAATATTTAGTAATTGTCTGGGCTGCTAGCTCATAACTGTTATCACAGTATTTTTGAGGATTGCTTGAGGCCTAAAGTTCAAAACTAGCCTGGTCAACACAGTGAAACCTCATCTCTACAGAACATGAGAAAAATTATCCAGGCATGCTGGCATGCACTGATTGTCCCATCTACTGAGGCAAGAAGATTGTTGGAACCTAGGAGTTTGAGACTGCACTGAGCTATGATTACACCACTCCACTCCAGCCTAGCTGACAGAGTAGGAGCCTGTCTCTACAAAAACAGAAAAATTAGCCAGGCATGGTGTTATACACCTGTAGTCTCAGCTACTGGAGAGGCTAAGGCAGGAAGATTGCTTGAGCCCAGGAATTCAAGGCTCCAGAGAGCTATGATCATATCACTGCACTCCAATCTGGGTGACAGAGCAAGACTCTATCTCTAAAAGAAAAAAAAAAAATGTCTTCAGTGCCATCAGTATAACTCGGTAGCATAAAGTCCTGTGGAATGCTTCATTGATAGTTAGCAGCATGTTAATAGAAATAGTTCTGCAGAAACACTGACAATAAAGTGCTATAAAATACTAATTTAAGATATAATCATAATAAATCCACTGCTGGGTCAGAACTCAATTTTACTAAATGGCACAGAAAAGAAAATAAAAAGCATTGAAATCAAACAGTTTGCTGAGGATGAGGAGAAAGAATCATCTGCCTTCCTTAGTCACTGGAGGCAGCCTGTCAACTCTGTCCTTATAGGAGGCTGCTGTGATGCGTACGTGGTAGCACCCAGCGTTTCATGTGTATGTCTCTGCATTTTACTGGTCTCCCCACATACTTAACATTGCCTTTGGGAGTTGGCAAAAGAAAATGACAGTATTCCTTCTGTGGTGGTCCATGTCCCCTGTATCATGGTGCTAATTCAACTTTTCTCTTATTAAGCTTTTGCCAGATAGGAAGAATGTTTAGGAATCTGAGGGTCAAAGTATCCTTCATCCCTGCCTCCAATTATATGGACCCTGCTGTGTTGATATGAACATATAAACACAGCAGAACCATACACCATAGTCAAAGGCCCACAAAAGGAAGTGCAGTAGAACCTCTGAAGTGACAAGGGACTATAACAAACTGGTCCATATACAGAGGAGGTCAACATAAGGAACAAGGCCTGCTGTACTGATTTGTACGGTGGTGCATGTCCAGTCTATGAAAATCAGGTCAACATAAGGAGGTGGTCAGTTATGGAGGTTCTACTGTACTCTGTAAAAGTTTTGGTAAAACTGATTTGCTTTGGTTAACATGAAACTTGAAGATACAGCCAGTTCAGTTCAGCCCCCCATAAAGCCTCTGCAGTGAGGACTTCAGAGCCTTGAAGAGGTGATTGTTTTGTGTCACAGAGATTACTTTGCGTGAAGCTTAGCTATTTTACTTGGCAAATGTGTGGAAAGTTCAAGACACAATTTTACCAAGATGGAGTTCTAAGAAATACTAACAAAGAGGAAGTAGCATGCATTTCAAGAACACTTGCCCAGTAGACATTCTGAACCCTTTGTTTTTAAATCTAGGGCTTAATTTAAGTATCTATTTTCTTGGCTAAGGAATACCGAAATGATGCAGGCTGTTTATGCAGTGGGAAATAGTTTTCCATTGAAATTAAGTTAAAACTGCTCTGCTTGTTTAAACTAATATCTGAAGTCTTTAGTCATTTTATGAGTCAGTAAATTTATGCAAAACTTAGGAAAATGCTTTAGAGCAGTCTTTGTGGAGACTAGTTATTAATAAGAAAAAGGGCAAAGAGACACATGGTAATCTGTTTATGTGCATGAGGTCTGCAGCTTATTACAAGTTTCTATGAACCTTCAGTAATGAAGCATTATGTAAAATTAGACATTTCCTTTAAATTATAAAAAATTCACTAAGGGGGAAAACATTCGATGTTATTTCTAAATAACTTATTTGTAATATTTTCCCTACGCTGGTAATTTAACTATAAAAATTAATGTAATAAGGAACATTTCCATGCCACTCAAGATTCCTCCGAGGAGTTTTAATTTTGCTTGTCCTTGGTTCCTAGAGTTATCAAATGAATGACCCTTATTAACATCATTTTATAACTTGAACAGATATCTAACAGATAAATCCTAGCTTGCATATATGTGTATAAAACCAAAACATTATTTCACTTTAAACAGTTTCTTTTGTTGGAGATCACAGATAAAGGGAGTGGTTTCCAACTTCTCTCTAGATCCTAAGTGATGGATGAGACATTGTTGAGAATAAGCAAGAACTACGTTAGTATTATTATGTGGCATTCCATGCAAATCAAAACCCCAAAAGGCCTGGAGTTCTGCTTAGAAATTTCTCTCTCATCGTTATTTTATTTCATGCTCAATTCTTAAGCTATTGCCTTATGGTTTCCATGTATATAATTATAAATTAACATTTAAGATAAATATGTGTCAGTATCAAGATTGGTTACTTGTATCAGAGATCCAAAGAAAAGCAGCCTACCTACCTAAGATAGCACTCATGCCAGGCATGGTGGCTCAGGCCCATAATCCTAGCTCTCTAGGAGGCTGTGGGGGGAGGATCACTTGAAGGCAGGAATTCAGGACCAACCTGAGCAAGAGCAAGACCCCATCTCTGCAAAAATAAAAAAATTAGCCAGCCTTGGTAGCATGTACCTGTAGTCTCAGCTACTGGGAAGGCTGAGGCAGGAGGATCACTTGAGCCCAGGACATTGAGATTGCAGTGAGCTCTGACAGCACTATACTTTAGCCGAAGTGACAGAGCAAGATCCTAAATGCATACATACATACGTATATAAGATAGAATGTAATGTTTACTAGGGAACAGTTTGGATGTGAGACGCTCATGGCTGGTGTGGTTATCAGGAACTCTGGCTTCTCCTTCATCATTGCCTTGAATTCTTAACATTTAAGTACCCAGAGTTTCACCATGTCTGAGTGAGCTCCAAATATCATACCCTCCACCCAGTTAATAGGAGCAAAAAAGCAACAAAGATGCCATTCCCAGAAACTGTTCTTGACATTTCATCTTATTTGCCATTCCTCAGAACTTCGCCACATCTGGCTGCAGAGGAGAAAGGAACTTTAGTCCTTATTCTGGGTGGCTTTACGCCTAGCTGTAATGTAGGGATTATTAAGGAAGAAGAGGAGACAGATACTGGGGACAACTGGGAGGATCTGTGACATGTGGGTTTAGCTGAGCTTTTATAATTCTTTTCTCTTACATCTTCTTTTTTCTCCTTTTCTAAACAGATCCCATGCGTGGCCCAAGGAAACTAGAAGTAGTGGAAGTGAAATCCCGACAAATCACCATCCGCTGGGAGCCATTTGGCTACAATGTAACTCGTTGCCATAGTTATAACCTCACCGTGCACTACTGTTACCAAGTTGGAGGACAAGAGCAAGTTCGAGAAGAAGTCAGCTGGGATACAGACAACTCCCACCCTCAACACACAATCACTAACCTGTCACCATACACCAATGTCAGCGTGAAACTCATCCTCATGAATCCCGAGGGACGGAAGGAAAGTCAGGAAATCATAGTGCAGACAGATGAAGATCGTGAGTACTTTTAATGATATGTTCATGTGAAAAATGTTCTTTTAAAAAGCACTTTTTGTTTGTTTTCAGAGCTTTATAGTGAAACAGAGGAAAGATCTACCTACTTTGTTGAATAATAAAAATGTGTATCTGTGCTCTGAATTCTGAAGCACTGATTAAAAGAGAGTAAAGAGAATGATGAGGATGTGGACATTTAATTCTTCCTTAGTTATAGAGTTACTTTTTTGTCTGTAATCATTCCATATTTCTCTAACTAGTTCTTTGTTCAGGTTTTATTATATTGGACTAAAAATTTTCATTTTTGTTATTTGATTATTTCTATAATCAAATTATTTCTAATAATCTATTATTTATAATACTCAAATTTATTATTATTTTAAAAATAAATTTAAATGACATTCTGAAACATTTCTCATAGTTCAGATAAAAAGTCAATATAAAATAGAGGTTGCCCTTACTTTTCAACACGGTGCTGAGAAAATATATCAAGTTGGCAATTGTGAAATAGATCATTTTTCCCCACAGGAACAATGTTGGAACTGGGTATTACCTTAATAAACAAATACTTAGCTAATAAATCATGCACACCACCAACTCATCCAGAACAGCAAATACACAGTTGTAGTAGACCTTAAATTCTGGATATCAATGTGCTTTTACACTGACTTTACAGGGAATCATCTTGTACAATAACATATTCATATAGTACGTAAAATACAGTGGTAGTGTATTTTTTATTTAGTCTGACCTAAAATTTATTGTTTAGGCATAAAAATAAATGGCAACAAACTTGGAAAGCCCATTAAATTTTCTGTTCCTGGGGAAAATAGATGTTTAACTTTTTATTTCTGATTGTATAATTTGTAACTAATTTATATAATTTTGACTATTGATTAAATCACATGTAAAATAGTTATAATAATAGTGTATTGTTCCATTTAAAGAACTATCCGAGTATTTTGGAGTGTTTTGCCTGCACACTCCATACACATTGCTGGAGAAGAACTTGGCAACATCAGCGTAAATGAGGAGCTCACCTCACACCTTCCCTTTCTCTCTTGTGTTCGTTCCGCTCCGTTGGTTTAGTCTGGTTATTTTCGGTGGGAGCTCAGTGAAGACTGAGACCAGGTCCTGTTTCTGTGTCTTCCACCTCTCCCTCGTCTCCCTGTAAAGAAGCCAGAGGCCGTCAGCATTGTCAGCGTGTCACCGCTGTCCCTTTCCTCCCTGGTGTTTCTATAGTCACTCTGGTCCTAACTTCTGTTGTTTCTACTTCCAAAGTTTTAGGTTGCTCTTTTCACTCACCTTCTGCAGCCATAGAGGATCCCTATTATTTTATGCTGAGATTTCTGTAATTGTTTCTAACACCTTTCTTTGTGGTTTCAGCCTTTTCTCCGTCTTATCCCCACCCCCAACTCATCAATAATTAATCTTTAAAATACCTTTTCATTATGTCACTCTCTCTACAGAAGCCTTCAATGGCTCTTTCTCTTTCTCTTTCATTCCAAAATCTTGGCTTTCTCAAGGTATACCGTGTTTTGGGCTCATACTCTGGAAGTAATGGCTGCTCTGTGGCAGCTCACTCCACAGAGCTGTCCCTCAGCAGGGGTCCTCTGTGCCACTCTCTGTACGTACATCCTGGCTGCCTCGTTGTTCCCTGTCTGCTCCCCTCCACCAGTGCCTTCCCACCTGGCTGCTCCTCAGTTCTGTCTCTAAAGTTCTTTGCAAGTTTCAGGTCCTTCATAAAGCTGTCCCCAACTCTTCCAGCCACGGTACTCACATCCTTCTGACCTGATTTGCACTTGATAAGGTTCTTAAATCTCTGAGCCTTAATTTCCTCATCTAAGAAGTGAGACCCAAAGAGGTTCAGTGAGACCCCCATCTCTAAACCCAGCTACTTGGGAGGCTGAGGCCAGAGAATCACTTGAGCCCAAGAGTTTGAGGTTGTTGTGAGCTATGATCATGGGACACTCTACCAAAAGTGATGAAGTAAGACTCTGTCTCAAAAAAGAAAAAAGAACTTATGAAGTACAATTTCATTTTAGAATTGAGGCAACTGAGACCCATAGAGATTTAGTGATGTCTAAGTTACACAGTTTAATTATTGAAGAGTCTTAAATCAGTCTTTTCATTTGAATTAGTCTTTTTGTTCTGCTCAGTGATATTCCACTAATAAATAACAGCAAATATCCAACATTTACCTGTAAATAGTCCCTCAACTCAAGAGAGCATACTGCCTGTGAGTCCATTTGAAATTCTAGGTAATCTTTCCAACCTGTGCCAGTCTTGGCAACCACTAAAAACTGTTCCTACCCTGTCACATCTAAGACATTTTTCAGTCCTCCTTCTAAAACCTTTCTTGAGATGTTTGTCCATCACCTGGTGAGCATTTGACTTGTTTCCACTTTGGAGCTATTATAAATAATGCTTCTGTGAATATTCATGTACGAGTTTTTGTGTTGACATGTTTTTAGTTCTGTTAGGTATGTACCTATGAGTGGAATTGGTAGGTCATGATGTAAATCTATCCACATTTTATCAATTGAAGAACTGTCGGACTGTTTTCAAAGTGGCTAGACCATTTCACATTCCCTCCAGCAGTTTCTGAGGATTCTGATTTCTGTACATCCTTTTAAACATTTAGTATTATCTGTCTTTGGATTAGAGCAATTCCAGTAGTGAAGAGGTGATTTCTCATTGTGGTTTTGATTAGCATTTTCCTGCTGGTTAACGATGTTGATCATCTTTTCATGTGCTTATTGGCCATTTGTATATCTTCTTTGGAGAACTATTTATTCAAATCATTTGCCCATTTCTAAAGGGGCTATTTTCTTGTTAGACTTTAATAGTTCCTTTTGTACTCTACATGTAAGTCTCGTATATGTGATAGGCACAAACGTCTCTCATCCTGTGTCTTGCCTTTTCTTTAATTAGTACCATTTAAATCATAAAATTTTTGAATTTTGATGGTGTACAGGTTATCTGTACTTTCTTTTGTTGCCTTTGCTTTGGTGTCACATCTAAGAAACCGTTGCCTACTCCAACGTCAAAGATTCACACTTGTTCTTTCTCCTGAGAGTTTGTAGTTTCTTACAATTAAGTTTTTAATCTATTTTGATTTAGTTTCGATATGTGGTATGAGATAGAAATCCAACTTCATTCTTTTGCATGTGGATAGCCAGTTGTGCAAGCAGCACCATTTGTTGAAAAGATTATTTTCTCCTCATTGAGTTTTCCTGGCACTTGATGTTGGATGTCAGTTGACTAAAAATGTAAAAGTTTATTTCTGAGATCTTCAGTTCTGTCCTACTGATACATATTTCTTATCCCAATATCAACTGTTTCAATTACTGTAGTTTTTTGGGTTTTTTTTTGTTTTTTTTTTTTGAGACAGAGCCTCACGCTAGAGTGCCGTGGCATCACAGGTCACAGCAACCTCCAACTCCTGGGCTCAAGCAAGTCTCCTGCCTCCACCTCCCAAGTAGCTGGGACCACAGGTGCCCACCACAATGCCCAGCTATTTTTTGGTTGCAGCCATCATTGTTGTTTGGTGGGCCCTGGCTGGATTCGAACCCGCCACCTTTGGTGTATGTGGCTGGCGCCTTAGCCACTTGAGCCACAGGCACCGAGCCAATTACTGTAGTTTTGCAGTAAGTTTTGAAATCAGGACTTGGTGAGGCCTCACCAACCACTTATTGATCACCCATTCCATCACCAAATAATTCGATCCTATACCCCCAATTGCGTCTACATTGATAAACAGCGTAGCTGTCCTGTAAATGGAATAGACATACTCATTTACTGAATTTTATATATTATAAAGCATAATCAAAAATTGTATTTTACATGATGAAATAAACATTAATTTATGATAATGCTAAATATTATTTTATAGAAAATTGACAAGTAAATTTCCATCTTCCCTTATGTGAAATATTATTACAAACTTATAAGAAGTTTGTATATTTTAAATCTTGAAAAGATGGTATTTTTCCCAAATCACCTGAATTTTTGACAAATAAAGTATAATTTTTAAAAACTATATGGTTATTTCATCTACATCAACTTCTATTTTGTATGTACTCTATTAATATATTAGTATGGTAGTTCATACATATTTTTGACATACTTTTGTTATTTAGTATTGTGGTTATCAAATGCATCCATGATGATGCATAAATGTATACAATTGTCATTTATTTTCAGTCTTTTCAGTATTTCATATATGAATATAACACTATTTAAGCCATTTTATTTGTTTCCAATTTGTTATTATGGTTGGTATTATTAAAAAGCTATATGAACATGCTTGTATATGTCTCCTGGTACATATATGTAAGAATTTTACTAGGGACCCTGGGGGTAGGATCATTGAGTCCTGTGGCCCTTGTGTCTTCAACTTCACTAAATACTACCAGTGATTTTACAAGAGCACTTTCATCAGTTTACACCTCCAGAAGCAGGTGTGAGAATTCTCATTTATTATATTCTTCTTCATTTCTTTTGGAAGAATGAAAAAGCTTATTTAGAAGGTACTTACACAGCTGTCTAATTGATTCAAACTTTAAAAAAATGATGAAATTATTTTTTTAATAAAGACAATATAATAAAATAGTTTCAGATTTTGGATTTTTAAAGGAAAATTTAAATATTTATATAAACTATCAAAATCTTGTGCCTCAAGAAAAGGTTAAAACTCACCAAGTCTAGAAAACTCTAGTTTGACTTTTGGGTGTTTTGCTCTCTGACTCATCCATCTCCTGTGCTCCTTTAGTCCCAGGGGCCGTTCCTACTGAATCCATCCAAGGAAGTACCTTTGAAGAGAAGATATTTCTTCAGTGGAGAGAACCAACTCAAACGTATGGTGTAATCACTTTATATGAGGTAGTGTACACGTTCATTAGTAATTTAATTTTTATTATAATGTCTGATGAAAATCTAAGCTATGTAAAAAATGCATAATGACATATGGCCTTTTAAGAAATTAATGCTTTTGATAGTTATATTGGTTATTGTACAGAAGTAAAAATTCAAAATTAAGGTTTTAAATTGTGTATAATTTCAGAATACATCTTTGTAGTGAGTTGGATGCTTCCAGATTATGTGCTATTATATGCTAACATCCAGCAAAACATTAAAAATCATCTTTATTAAAAAGAAGCATTTGGAAACATGCGTTGATTAGGAGGCAACCATAGAATCTTATTCTTGCTTAGCTATGAAATATTTTACTATGAATTAATAGAAGAACACTGATTATCCAATTAGCAAAGTCAATAAAAATTGTCTCGGGGTAATAACAGAATAATGTTTTTTGGTTTCTTAGTATTAGCCAAACATCCTTTAGACTTTAGTGACATAGTTTTGTCTGCTGAGGCATATCAAATGGTTGAATGATAGATAGCAGGGAAGAATTTGATGAATTGTGGAAGAAAAATAACAGCAGTAACAGGGTGACATCCATCATCACATCTGTGTGAGCATCATTTCACTGTGCCTATTGTCATAGAAACAAGCAGGTGTTTTTTTTAAGCTAGCATTTATTTGAATGCAAATTCAACAAAATTATATGTTGTAAGGTTTCTAGAAATCACGGCAGAGCCTCGTATGGATGCTCTGCTTAAATACCTTTCAGAACTACTGACAAAAGCTGGTGCAGATTGGCTGTCAGACAGTAATCGCAGTACACCCCTCACCTGATCCAGCTAGCCTCACATTGGGGTTTCCTTGTAACTTTTGAAAATTAAAATGCAAAAAAAAAAAATCCAACTGAAAGCTAAATGAAGAAAAATAAAAGGAAAAAGTTGATTTTTGTACTTTTATTGATACTGTGCATTGCCTGCTTCACCTAAAATAATTGAGTGCTATGTAAATTCATGGCTCAGCTTATATAGAGCTAAGTGTTACAAATAAATCAAACAAGTTCATATATGTTCCTCAGTGGAGAATCTTCTAGTTAATATTTTTGGCCCCATGACTATTTCTAGGTTTCAGTTTGGGGGATTCTTATATAAAAGTAGAAGGATTTTTTTTAATGGAAAAGATGTTAAATCAACTTTAAGTTCCCAGAAATAAGTTCACCTTTCCTAAATTTAAGCCCCATATTGGTTTCTGCAGAGACAGAAAATAGTCATGAGATTCTTTCTTTCTAATTCCACAGGCCATATATCTTTGTGTGATAAGTAACTTTAACATGAAAACAACAGGAATAATAATTCAAAGGAAGAACCCATTAATCTCTCTGATTCAGCAGCTAAGAATCCCCAGCTGAACACTGATCTAAATGCTAGTACAATGGGGACATGTGAATGTGTCATAAATCAGGGTTTTAAAAATCAGATACGTGGAAGTAGAGCAGCTTGCTTCATTTTTCTAGGACCAAAGAGGAAATGTCAAATGTTTGAATCAGGCTGAAGCTATTAAACAGAAGTTTTCTGGCCACTGAATCTTCCTCTTTTCTTCTTCTACTTTTCCAGAAGTGGAAGTAGGAGTGGGCACTTGGGGAGGGAGCGCCTAAGTCCCCACCCCGAAGGAAGTTCTTAGGTAGAATCTCAGGCGGGAGCTCTTTAGCTGAGTTACACCTGGAGCTGTGAGTCACCCGGCCTCACAGCAGAGTTTACAATATATACAGCTTCTTCCCTGAGCTGAAGAATGATGTTGAACCAGACTTGGTCCGCTCTCTGGAGAATTACGGCCTTTTAGAATAGACATCATATTAAGGAAATCACATACTTAGTCCAAAAGAAGCAGGAACAAGAGGAACAGTGTCTTCTCTCATGGAGCCACATTTGACTATAGGTAAAAACTGAGAGGTGAGATAAATTACCATGGTTGACAAAAAGTTTGCCAATAAATAAAAAACTTGGCTTGGCACCCATAGCTCAGTGGCTAGGGCACCAGCCACATACACCAGAGCTGATGGGTTTGAATCCAGCCTGGGTCTACCAAACAAGGACAACTACAACCAAAAAAATAACTGGGCATGGTGATGGGCACCTGTAGTCCCAGCGACTTGGGAGGCTGAGGCAAGAGAATCTCTTCAGCCTAGCAGTTTGAGGTTGCTGTGTGCTGTGACACTATGGCACTCTACCCAGGGCGACATAGTGAGACTTTGTCTCAGTAGGGAAGGTAGCACCCTTGAATAGCTTTTGAAGAAAGAATTAACTAACAGATTGAATGTCACTGATATTAGAAATCAACATGCTATGATTTAGATTATTCTCAAGTACTCTCTTTGCTTAATATGAAAGATACACAAAGTTATTACTGATCGAAACTGCTGACAGCATTGTTTTTTCCAGGAATTATGGCAATTTCCAGCATTACAGCATTCTTCTGCCTTTATTCTCTGCTCTCTCCTTTATGCGTGCTCCTCCAACCTTCATCCTCAGCCTTCCCCAAACTCTCCTTAACTTTTTGTTTTCCCTGTCTTTGTTCTGGCTCTAACATTTCTCATACCACAGCTCCCATTTCTGCTGTTTAGTTTTATCAAGGTTATCTTCCTGAAACCTAGGTCTGATAATTACACCTTTACTCAATAGCTGTCAAAATCTTTCATTTTTTTTTGTCAAGTTGTAAACATAGTACTGCTCTCTGAAGGAATATTTTAAGTACAGAAGTATTTACAATAAAATACCTTTGCTTTATAATTTTGTTTTTCAAAGGTAACTACTATTAACAACTAGATACATGTGCTTCCAAAAGTTTACAAGGTACAAACTCTAATGCAGGTTCATTTATGAATATAAAATGGATGTAATTTAATAAATGTTTGTAAACCCAGAATTTTATTACAAAAATGATACGCCATATGATACCACTACCTAACATCATACAAAAGTAAATATCACATAGATTCATGGCCCAGACACAAAAGTTGACCTTGCAAGAACACTGTAGGAAAAATACAGGAGGATGTTTTTGTACTACTTTCTTCTAAGTTTGATATAAGATACAATATTCATTAAGAAAAGATTAACAGATTTGGTAATACACACAGAATATTTTAAACTTCTTAATGATGAAAAATATGGTGAAACAAGTCAATAAAAATAGAAGACTGAGGTAAATTAATTCCAACAGTTACAGTAGCTAGTAGGCTGGCATCTATAATACACAATGTCTTAATACAGATTAATAAGAAAAAGACTCAGAAAACAGTCAAGCTGGCATGGGAGCACACAGAAAGGTAACAATCCAACCTTACTGATGACTAAGAAATGAAATAAAACAAGTGCTACAAAAAGTTTAGATTTCTGTAATATCAAGCATTAATTGGTAATGTGGAGAAAGATGTACGTTGTGGACTATTGGTGGGAATACACATTTTGCAGCCTCTTTTGTAGGTAATTGGGACATCAATCAAAATTTAACATTGTCGGCTCGGCACCTGTGGCTCAAGCGGCTCAAGCGGCTAAGGCGCCAGCCACATACACCTAAGGTGGCGGGTTCAAATCCCCAGCCCAGGACCGCCAAACAATGATGGCTGCAACCAAAAAATGGCCGGGCGTTGTGGCAGGCACCTGTGGTCCCAGCTACTTGGGAGGCTGAGGCAGGAGACTCGCTTGAGCCCAGGAGTTGGAGGTTGCTGTGAGGCTCCGTCTCAAAAAAAAAAAAAAAAAAAATTTAACATTGTCCATCAAACCTAGTTCCTGAAGTTTATCAGTCAGGAATACTTGCAGATGCTCAGGGATGGGAATATGTCCAAGTGTTTTCATTGCACCCCACCAACTTTATGTATCTCTCAATTGCCTAGTGAGCAAATACTCTAAATGACAGTGAAAGTAACACATCAACAGACTTTCTAAAACATTTACTATGCATTCGGTATTGCATAGAAAGAAAACAAAAGTAGAAAAGGTCATGTCCCTTGTCTTATACATAGCTGTTCTAACAGACACTAACTAGAGAAAAAATAAGTCCCAGAACCAGGCACTCAGTTTAACGTGTGGTCAGAGTGACTCAGAAGTGCAGTTTTCCTTGTGCACATGGGAAAGGAGAATGGTCTGGACTTGTCAGCTGCTGGGGGTGTTGATGAATCTGTAGTTGATTCCAAGATCCTGAGCCTGGATCGCCACCGGCTGAGATCCTGACTGAGCCTGGTTTACCCCCCACTGGGACAGGTGATAGTGGTGTGGAGAATTGGGGGGCTGTGTGAAGACATTTGCTTTCAACATTCAAGGTCTTTTGTGATCTAGTCCCAATTTGTATCTATCACTTCATCATCCCGTATTGATTATGCTCATGTTCTTTCCTCCTATGCTCCTCTCTCCATTCTCCTTCTATAGCACTGCTGCTTATTTTTCAGCATTTCATTCAAGTCGCTGAATGAATGAACTTTTCCTTGAAGTATCATAGGTCCTTTCTTCTCCTGAAATCATATTTTCTTACTTGTCCCTTTATGTTTACAGAGTAATTGCTTGAGCCTCAATAAAAAGACTGTTTTATGCTAACTGGAATCGCCATCTGCTCACACATCCTAGATGATTTTAATTCCCCTCATGGCCAGAGATTGCACATTATTCCATCTTGGTTCTCCATGAATCTCTCAGTTTAGAATCTGAGCCTTTGAATAGAGAAGCAGAAGATAATTTTAGGAGATTTCAAACACTTAGCTACAAATCAGAAGTCATCCAATAGAAGCAACTGTTCATTCCATCTCACCTAAATATAAAACTACATGTGTTTGGGGGACCTCAGTTTGTGTTTGGACCGTAAAGTTTTATGTCCTATAAAATAACCTCCACCCAACTCTGGAACATCAGCATTTTTTACAAAACGTCATGAAAATCCCTGGGCCCTCAGCCAGTGACAGAGTGCATGTGTATAGGCTTTCCCCAACTTGCCTTTTGGGAGTTTCCTGCTGTACGTAAGTTCTTCTTAAGTACTTAATAAACATTTATTGAATAAAACATAACTTCCAAACATAAATGCCAAAGGGAAATGTGCACTGGAGTTTGGACTTGGAGGTACATTTGGGTGCCCTTTGTAGCTGCTGCTCAGGTTGGGGAATGATCACGGAGTATCTGTTCTGTGGCAGGTGGTGGAATTGCAGTTAGGCTGCCCCGTTACTGTGGAGCTTTTTCATTCCTAGAGTTCACACTCCAGGGTTCTGTGGATGGATTTAGGGGTGTGGTGGTCCAAAAATTTCATGTACACATATGTGCATAGCATGCTTGTTTGTTAGGGGTAGAGAAGATGCATAATTTTTAGAAGTGTATGATTTCTAAAGGAAGAGGAGAGAGGATCTCTAACTTTTACCAAATTGTCTTAAGAACTATATGTCTGGAAGGCAGGGAAGAACCAGCTTGTCCTACAACTACACAGCTGTCAGTCTACTGGTAAAAATAACTGGAAGAGCCCCAATGGAAGAGCAGGAGCAGGCCCATCAGTACAGCTCTCACTGCTTACCATGCTAATGGAGCTCAGCCTGCATTCCCCAAAGTGCGAGTGTGAGCACACACACCTGTTCTCTCCAGGAATCTTTTTAGGAAAATATGTACTGGGTGCCAAATATTTACTGATCACAGTGGGATCAGGAAGAAGAGTAAGACGTCAGTCACTCCTCAGAACGTGCTACAGTCTCATGAGATGTTCCAGTTCCTCCAGCATATTAGAATCATGATTTAAGACTAAACAAGTGGTTTTTACAGCACTCATGATACATTGCCAAGTGAACTGTGTGAACAGTCACAGTGGTAGGCCTCTGGCTGACCTAGGGATGGTCCAGCCAGACTCAGGAAGGCTTTACAGGGGGGCAAAGGGTGGGCACTTTCTTTTGTCTCAGTCTTACCTTTGAAAACTTGCCCTTCGTCCCCCCTCCCTCTCTCCCTCCCTCTCTCCTTCCTTGCCTGCTTCCTTCCTCTCTCCCCCTCTCTCTCTTTTCAACCCCTTCTTCCTTCATTTCTGTCTCTCTTGCTGGCTTCTCCTCCTCTACCCTGTATCCCCTGTCCATGTCTATGAGGCAGTGGCACTGGGCTTTCTTCTCTTTTCTCTCTAAATTCCTTTCCCCAATCATCTCGTTTATTCCCAAACCATAACATCGTTTCAGTGCCAGTCGCCCCACATCTCCATTTCTAGTGCAGTCCTTTCTCAAACCACAGCTTTGTGTCCCACGCATGTGTCCACTTGGCTGCCATTGGTATTTCCAGCTCGCTGTGTCCACATCCAAGTGGAATTTCTTCCCATGTGTTCCATCTTATTACGGTAAGTGGAACCATCTTTGGCTGCAGCCCCAAACATAGAATCTATCCTTTATTCCTCCCCCTTTGCCACATATATTGCCCATCACTAAATTCTGTCCATTTTGCCTCTACAATATGCTAGTTTTTTTCATTTCTTATTGTCTCCATCTCCCCTTAGTCAGGACGCTACACTCTCTCGCGTGTGGGTAGCCCTGGTCCCAGGCCTCTGCACTGGTTCCTGTTGGCCTCCCGCCTACCGTTATAGCCCCTCCAATAAAATCAGCCTTCCACCTTCAGTCAAGATGAACTTTTTAAAGGTGATTCAGATAATTTTATTTTTGCACTTAAAAATGTCCAAGGGTCCCCTGAAGTACGAAACCAAATTTCTTGTCTTAGCGTAGGGACCTCTGCCTGCCATAGCCCTGGCCACTTCTGCAGCCCCTCAGGGACTACTCAGACCATGCTCACTCCTGTCTCATGGCCTAAGTTCATGCTGTTCTTCAAACCCTTGGCATGGCTGACTCCTCCACAAAGGTCAAGTCTCCATGGCTTAAGTGCCATCTCCTCCGTGGCTTAAGGGCCATCGCCTCCATGGGCCCTTCCCCAGCCACTCTAGAAGGCCGTGTATGAGCCTCTCTCCTCCCCCTAGCCCACCCAGTCCAGAGTCTTTTATTTTTGTGTTAAAGACTAGCCTTTTTTTTTTCATTTTTTAAATTTCAGATTAATAAGAGGGTACAGATGTTTAGGTTATATTATCTCCATTCATAAGGTAAAAGTTCAAGGTATAGTTGAGCCCTTCATGTTGTGCACATTAGATGAGATCCCACCCAGTCTTGATTCTTCACTTCCTCAAGCCAGGGCCTGTGTCTGCCGGACTACAGTGCACACCAAAGTGCGAGTTTCTGATCAATATTTGAACCAAATAAACACCTCTGAACAGGCAGAGAAATGGGGCAGAGATACTGTGACGTAGACGAAAGTTTATCAGCAAAAGCGGTGTCAGAAAAACCCCAGGGACATTTATGGTGCAGTAAATCCTTGACCAGAGCAGGTGGTGACGTGATGCTGTAATGTTACGTGTGCAGAAATGAAGTTTGGGGAAGAAGTTGAAAGCAGGTCTGAAACACAAAGCCAAGGAGTCTGGGCTTTGCCCCACGTATATTTATGTCCCATTGAACGTTTTAGTCGGGCAATAAAATAAGCCCAAAGGCTGAGCTCACCCTCACCGTGGGGGGTGGGGGGTGCAGCGAGCTCAGCCTATCATCTTCATCACCATTTCATGGCTACTGGGTTGCTCTCCCCACCAGACTGTTACCCCCTTCAAGGCAGGTGCGGTGCCTGCATCACCACATGAGACGCCAGATCGGAACAGAGCGTGACATCTAAGAGATGCTTGATGCAACAGTGGGGTGATGGGTCACGTCCTGTCTCCTCCTGACTTCCTCAGTGCGTGAGAGATGCCCGTGAGAGGGTTAACACCACACACACACACTCTGCCTGGCTCTGACAGGCTGCACGCTGCACTGATTAACATATACAGCAAACATTTTCTTGCTAAGGCTTACTTGATTCAATCTAAATATTCTTTCAGAGAGGTCTTCTTAATTGTAATGACATGGTATAAATATAAGAAGAAAGAATGTCAATTATCACTTCGTATAATAACAGTGTTAGTGTTCATGCACGTAAATTACAAGTAAGTTTACCTATTTAAAAGCAAGAAAAGTGCTCAGTTTTGCAATTTAAAACTTTTGAATATGCCACATTTTAAAATTGTGTCATTACAACCAGTTCAAGTTAGTAATCACCTCTAAAGTGCATGTTCTTAAATAGTTGATGAACTCACAGCAAAATAAAAAATCATTTCAGAGGACGAAATTTAAAGGCACCTATGTTATATTTATTTTCAAACATTTCAGCCTCATCCAACATGCTTTGAATATCTGTACTACTGATAAATCAGCTTACTAGTTACACATGGCAATTTAGATTCAAATTTTAGTTAAAATTTAAAAAAATAAAATTTTCAGTTCCTCAGTCTCACTAGCCACATTTCAAGTGCTTATGAACCACATCTGGCTGGTGGCTACTACCATATTGAACAGTGCAAAATAGAATACTTTGGTCATCACAGAAAGCTCTGTTGGGTGGTGGTGTTCCAAAGAAAGGAAATGAGTAAGACCCCTAATGAACACTCCATTCATAGCATCAGGAACTGCCAACACACATTTGGAATTTATTTTTGGAGCATGTATCTTTGCCCACATTGAGGAGAACACCTAAAGGTGTCCTTGTCCCCAATAGACAATTTTCCTATTCACTGTCAAATCAGATTGTGGCCACTAGATCAAAGATGAGGCCTTAGCCTTACCACTGTCTTATCTGTTTGAGCTAGTTGTATATTTTGTTATTTTTTTTGTCCTAAATCTACTGTAATGTACTTTTATAAAATGACATTTTGAAAGCAAACAACTTTAGGTTATTAGTTTAAGCCTGAACTCATCCTTTATGTTCTAATGCATTGGTGTCACGTTCTCCTGTCTATAAAAGTGATGAATAACTCCTAGCAGTTTGGCTGAGTTCCTGTCCCCCTTCCCCGGATGCAGGGTTTGCAGAGCCTGAGCAGGAGGGCTTTTCATAAAGCACCTGACAGTGCACACATCAGAAGGCTTCACTGGACGAAGATGCACCCTGAGTCCACCTGCTCCAAATCGTTTACCTTGTGCTTGTTCTTTTGCAGATCACCTACAAAGCAGTCAGTTCCTTTGACCCAGAAATAGATTTATCCAATCAAAGTGGAAGAGTTTCAAAACTGGGAAATGAAACCCATTTTCTGTTTTTTGGACTGTATCCGGGGACCACATACTCCTTTACCATCCGAGCAAGCACAGCTAAAGGCTTTGGGCCTCCAGCAACAAACCAGTTCACCACCAAAATATCAGGTACTGTGCATTCATGAGTTACATTTTTGTACTTTTCCATTCCCACTGTTAAGTAGGCAAAGCTTGCTATACACTTTAGCCAAATGAATACCTCTGGATGCCTAAACTCAGACTCATGGAATTAAATGAAATGCTACAGTAGTTATTTGGGGGAAGCTTAAATCCTCATTTGTTAGAAGTGGCCACTGTTATAGCAGTTTGCCTTGGAGGGCTTGGACATAAGGCAGAAGGTTCTGTTAAGGCACTCTCATTCCCTTGGCAATCCCAAGTTACCAGTACAGCAGTGATGGAAAAATCTCTTTAATGAGCCATGAACAATTGGGAGCTCAGCAGAAAGGCAGAATCATGGAGTCAGCTTCCAGAAGGATCAGCCTTCCTTGGGACCTTTACCATTAGTCGTTTCCCATCCTGAACAGAGAAGCAACATACAGGATGGTACCAGGCACCGAGGACCTCCAGCTCTTTGCTCTCAGAGACTCAATTATACAAAAGATATAATTTGAGAAATATTTCTAGGCATGTTCAACTGTGCAGAAAATGTCCTTGTACTTCAGACTAAAGGAAATTAAGTTGCCATCTGGCATGGGATATGTAACAGCAATAAACCAAATTCCATGGACATTTTCTTTTTTCATTTCTTTCCCCTGTGGATATGAGTAGGGAAGTGTTTGAGTTTTAGCTTTAACTGTTTTGGTCAGATGGGGCAGATGGGATGGAGCTGGGTGAGAGAGGTAACTCTTTATCTCGGATAGGACTAGACTAATAATATTTAGCCTGGGTTTTATAGCTTTTGTCCCTCATTCCTAGTTTTGTAAGAGTTTTAGTTTGGAGGTAAAGGAAGGGAATATTCACAACTAAAGTGAATTATAAGGATTTTGCTAGACTAGGGACGAAGGTTTCGAATTTTGTTTTTAAGTAATCACATAGTAACTTAAAGGATAAATTTTCATTACATTACATTTTAAAAATGTCTCAGAGTACAGATTTGACTTGAGATTTAATATCTAATTGATATCATACAGAGAGAACTAGATTATAGGAACAATATGGAGAGCTAGTAAAAGGAAGAAGCTTTTGAGAGTTTAGAAAAATTAAGAGATTAGAAAATTGGCCTAGGTTATAAAAAAGCCCACTGGATTTAGAATCTGAAAATCTGGGTCTAGTTATGGTTTTTCCATGTATTTTCTCTAATTTTGATCAAGCAAGTTTATCCCTGTATATAAATTAAGATGATATTTAGCACATGTATTTTGTCATGGGGATTTAAACAGGAAGTATGTGCCAATATGTATGCCTCCAAGTACTTTCTTAAAATTGGCCTCTATGGAAACCATATTTCAGAGATTATTACCGTAAAGTGTTCTTTTAGGAAAAAAATTCACATTTTCCCCTATTATTAAATAAGAATTTCAATCAGTGCGTTTTTGACCACTTTCAGCAAACAAGTTCATCTGATTCTGTCCAAAAACAAAGGGACTTGACACTTGAGTTAGCTTCTGCAGGCTCATCAAGAATAACTACTTAAATTTTATAGTTTTTTGAAAGTTGCATTTGTTTTTGTTTATTTTTATTGTTATTGTTATTATTTTTGCAGTTTTTGGCTGGGGCCAGGTTTGAACCCGCCACCTCTGGTAAATGGGGCCAGCACCGTACTCCTTGAGCCACAGGCGCTGCCCCTGAAAGTTACATTTGTTGGCCCTATTTTCTGTTTTTATGGACCTAAGATAGGAAACTATCCTCATTTATAAAATCTAATTCCATGTTATGAATTGGAGTTAATTTTTAATAGAATGGAAATTTTAATAACTGAGAAAATTCACTAGAATGGGACTGAGAAATGACCCACATCTATTACATGCAAGCTTTTTCTTTTTTTTTTTTTAAGGTCCAAATATTGGTTCTAGTGTTTTACTTTGTTTATTTATTTTTGTATGTATATGCTTTATGATATGTAAAATGATTTTAACAACCATTTTCAAGAAGCAATCTCTAGCTTTCTCATTGGGAACCTGTGGGTACTGGGAAGATGATGTGCCCTTCCCCTCCACATGATGTGTCCACAGTGGGGGCATAATTATTGAAGAGCTGGATCATCATCACAGTAAGACTTTCCAGTCTATAGAAGAAAGAAGGCCAGGAAATGTCCTTGGAAATAGGATTCATATCAGGAGGAGAACTACCATTTGTAGAGTTACATTTGCCTCCAGCTCTCTCTCCATCTATTATATCTTTGAATTTCTACATTAACCTCAGGGGATACTTTCCCCAATTTTAAGTGGCTTAGAAATTGAAGTTCCAGAGATAATTAATGTGCCCAAGCTCTTATGCTGGTTAAAACAAAAGACAACAAAAAGTCAAACTTTGGCCTTTCTAATTCCCATATATTTGCCACAGTCGGGCTTTCCTGAGAGCCCAGATGTCACTAATTAATTCCAACAAGTCTCTGGCTCTCCCTGTCCTCTTTAAGTCCCTTCTTTGAATCTTTAGTACATTAAAAGCTTCAACTTAGATGGAAGAACTATAAAGTCCTGATCCCAGTGATTATTTCTGAAACATGACTTTAACATAAACATTTTATTGACAATCTTATATATGCAGAAAAGTACACAAATTGTGAGTGTATAATGCAATCAATTTTTGCAACTGAGTACGCCCATTTATTCAGAATCCCAATGAAAGAATAGAGTATCACTTCACAAGCGTCTCTTATACACTCTCCTAACTTCAATTCAGGACCAAGCTGTCAGTAAGTGCTAGTTTTAGCAGCCATCCCTCTTACTCTGTAGGAAATACACATACAGCTTATTCATGGTCAGTTAATAGCTGCAATTTAAGAGCACTATGTTCTTAACGTTCTTTGTAAAAGAAGGTGAAAAGGAAACCAAGAAGATGAACCAGAAATAATGATTCTTCTACTGTACACCTTTCTCCCCCAGCACCCTCTATGCCAGCATATGAACTTGAGACACCTTTGAATCAAACTGACAATACAGTGACAGTCATGCTGAAACCGGCACAAAGCAGAGGTGCACCTGTCAGGTATGGAGGAAAGGGGTGGGCCGACTCTAGAGAGAAGAAAACTAAAACTGAGTTGATTAATTTCTCCAGCATGTTTTCTAGGGATTTGCTGCAAACCTCAGTCAGCATGTAAATCCATATCTTTATTAGCTCTAATTAAAAGAAATGGCTGAGGAAAATGAAAGAGCTTTGATGTAAGGTGATCAAGTGTTGTTTAAAGGGTATTATTCTGATGCAAGTGGGTTGGTCCTTTGAAGATAAGGAACAAAGCCCCTGTATGTTGATGAGGTGGCTTTACTTCTGAAAGGTAATTGCTGGCTGCAATTTAGTTACCCAAGGGCAGATGACATTTTTGTCCTGAACTCTATTCTTTATTTTACTAATTTTAATTACTATGGGCACATACAAGTTGTATTTCTTTATAGGATGCTTTGATACAGGCACACAATGTAGATTAATCAGATCAGGATGTTAGGTGTCCATCACCTCAGGTATTCCACTTTGTGCTCCCCCTTCCTGCTACCCTTCCCAGCCTCATTCTCCATGAAGTCAATTATTTTTATTATTTAGCTCCCACATATGAGTGAAAACATGAAAGATTTGTCTTTATATAATGGGCTTATTTCATTTACCATAATGCTCTCCAGTTCCACGTATATTGTTGCAAAGGAAAGGATTTTATTCTTTTTGTGGCAATATTCCTTTGGATATATGCACCACAATTTCTTTATCCATTTATCCATTGATGACACTTTGGTTGATTCTGTATCTTGGCAATTGTGAATAGTGCTGCAGTAAACATGGGAGTGCAGGTATCTTTTTGACATACTAAATTCCCACTTTTTGGATATATACCCAATGGTGGGATTAATAATTCTAATTTTAGTTTTTTGAGGAACCTCCATACTGTTTTCCATGGTGGTGGCACTAACTTACCTTCCTACCATGAGTGTATGAAAGTTACCATTTCTCCACATCCTTGCCAGCATTTGTTATTGCCTATCTTTTGATGAAAACCCTTTTAACTGGGGTGACATGATATCTTATTGTGGTTTTGCTTTGCATTTCTCTTATAACTAATAATGTTGAATGTTTTTACATATACCTGTTGGCCATTTCTATGACTTCTTTGAAGAAATGTCTATTCAGATCCTTTACCCTTTTTTAATCAGATTATTTGATTTCTTCCTATTGAGTTGTTGGAGATCTTTATATATTCCAGTTATTAATCCCTTGTCAGATGGATAGTTTGCAAATATTTTCTCCCATTCTGTGGGTTGTTTTTTTCACTTTGTTAATTGGTTCCTTTGCTGTGCAGAAGCTTTTTAGCTTGACTTGATCCATTTGTGTACTTTTGCTTTGGTTGACTGTGCTTTGGGAATGTTACTTAAAAAGTCCTTGCCCAGACCAATGTCCTGAAGCATTTCCCTAATGTTTTCTCTCAGTAGTTTCATAGTTTCCAGTCTTAGATTTAAGACTTTAATCCATTTTTATTTGATGTTTATATATGGTGAGAGATAAGGATCTAGTTTCATTCCTCTGCATGTGAATATCCAATTTTCCCAGCACCATTAATTAAAGAGACTATCCTTTCCCCACTGCATGTTCTTGGCAACTTTGCCACAGATAAGTTCACTGTAGATGTGTGGACTTACTTCTGGGTTCTTGATTATTGTCCATGGGTCTATGTGTCTGTTTTTATGCCTATATCATACTGTTTTGGCTACTATAGTTCTGTAGTACAATTTGAAGTCAACAATGTAATTCTTCCGGTTGTGTTCTTTTCACCTAGGATCATTTTGGCTATTCTGGGTTTTGTATGATTCCATGTAAGTTTTAGGAACATTTTTTTCTCTTTCTTTGAAGAATGTCATTGGTGTTTGGATAGAGATTGCATTGAATCTATAGATTGCCTTGGGTAATATGGACATTTTAACAGTATTGATTCTTCAAATCCACAGCATGGAATAGTATTCCTTTTTTTATGTGTCATCTTCAATTTCTTTAATCAATGTTTTCTTATTTTCATTATAGAGATCTTTCATCTTTTTGTTAAGTGTATTCCTAGGTATTTTATTTTAATTCTAGATATTTTAAACTTTCTTTGTTTCTTTTTCAGATTATTTACTGTTGACTTGCGGAAATGCTAATGATTTTTGTATACTGATTCTGTATTTAGTAACTATATTGAATTTGTTTATCAGTTCTACTAGTGTTTTTCTGAAGGTATAACATCATATCATCTGCAAACAAGGATAATTTGACTTCTTCCTTTCCCATTTAGATACCTCCTATTTCTTTTTCTTGTATGATTGCTCTAGCTAAAATTTCCAGTAGTATGATGAATTAACAGTGGTGAAAATGGGAGCTCTTTTCTTGTTTCAGATGTTAGAGTAGTATTTTTCAACCATTTTTTCCTCACAGCACACTTGACCCTATAGTTAAACTTCCATGGCACACTGAAATTATGTTAATCAAAAAAAAAA